GGTCAAGAAGTGGTCCAAATTGTTAACAGTAAACAGCGTCCGGATGTGAGATCACTGTTCAATAACTCCGACAACACTGACAGCACTCGTGATCAACCAATTATTGTTTGTTTTTTGTTTAATTCATTTGTTTTCTATGCTTTTTGCTGTAAAAATAACTTTAATTCTTGTTTTGTATGACTGTTTCGCAGATCACTGATACAGATATAACAGAAAATGACGGATTGGTTCTATCGGTTCCCAATAGCCATACGCTAAACATACCTCCTATTCCGATGCCTCGTAGAGGTTCATCGCCTGATCTCAAGATTACCGCTGAGACTGGAAGGACTCGTACGCTATCAAACCCGCCAGATATGGACAATGAGAACAATTTAATAAAATACAAATCGAAACCAAATTTATTGAATTTAAGTAAATCGACGACTAATTTGAAGAAAGAGTCTTCTAGTCGATTCAGTTGGTCCGGCTATAAGAAGGCCTTCAGACTAGTCAGCGATCGCCGCAATTCTCACACAGCGCTCGACACCGACAACTCCGGCACCGGTTTGTTGTGTTCAACACTTTGTTCATTATTTTAGTTGAATTTATCAAATGATTGTTTTGAAGGAATCGAAGCGTTGAGTTTGAAATACAATTCTAGTCTCAGAGGACACGAAGACATCCCTAGAAATGTGAAACAAGTGACCGACACTTACGGCAATGATTTCTTCGCCGCCGATCACATCACAGCTCAGGGATTGGGAATTGAAGTCGTGATGAATCCTCAAATTCAATACACATCTCCTGTAAGTGTTGACCAGAATTTATCATTTTGTTTATCAATTTTTATTTTTAATCATTTAAATATCAAATATAAAATATTTTTATTTTACAAAATTATGCAAAAGTAATAAATTATATAATAATAATTGTATTATATATTTAATATGCGAGTAAATATTTAATCATTATTTAAATGTGGTTTATTAGACGCACACAAGTTTAAACCTGAGATTATAAATGTGGTTTAAAAACACTTGGAATTTACCGTAGTTAATAGATTTATATTTGATACAAGGTATATGAGATACACTGTGAGTGAAAACAAGTGAAATGGAATCAGTAATTAACCAAAAAACAGGATATGCTTTGCGAATAATTAATCATAGATGGTTAATTAGACGTTGCAAATATATGGGTAATTTTAAATGCTTATATGTGAGTAAATATGAATAGACATAGATTGATAATAAATGTGAAAAAGTTTTTAAAAAAAGTGACTGGGCCGGGAATCGTACCGGGCTTATCACACTCAGAGTCGTAGACGCTATACACTGCGCTATGCAGACATTACAC